GGTATTACCGTATTTTAATCATTAAATATGTTTTGGCATTACCGTGTTTTAATCATTAAATATGTTTTGGTATTACCGTGTTTTTAAAATTTAAATATGTTTTTGGTATTACCGTATTTTTAATAATTAAAGATGTTTTTGGTATTACCGTGTTTTTAATAATTAAAGATATTTTGGTATTACCGTATTTTAATAATTAAATATGTTTTGGTATTACCGTATTTTTAATAATTAAATATGTTTTTGGTATTACCGTATTTTTAATAATTAAAGATGTTTTGGTATTACCGTATTTTTAATAATTAAAGATGTTTTTGGTATTACCGTATTTTTAATCATTAAAGATGTTTTTGGTGTTACCGTATTTTTAATAATTAAAGATGTTCTTGGTATTACCGTATTTTTAATAATTAAAGATGTTCTTGATATTACCGTATTTTTAATAATTAAAGATGTTTTTGGTATTACCAATACTTTAATCATTAAATATGTTTTTGGTATTACCGTATTTTTAATAATTCATAATTAATGAATAAGTTTCGGATATCTAAATTATTATCTATATACACAATATTTTAGATTCTTCATGCACTAAGGAATCAGTATAGACACATTTAGTGTTCTAGTCGTCCAACTAAACGTACTTTATATTTCTGTGTTCAGCTCTCTGTTACCCCCAGTGTATGAACGGAGGAACGTGTGTATCAACGGGAGTATGCAAGTGTGCTGAAGGTTACCAGGGGCCTCACTGTGAGGGTGGTGAGTATTATTAGTGGTAATGTTCAGCTGATGGTTACCAGGGGCCTCACTGTGAGGGTGGTGAGTATCGTTAGTGGTAATGTTCAGCTGATGGTTACCAGCGGCCTCACTGTGAGAGTGGTGAGTATTGTTAGTGGTAATGTTCAGTTGATGGTTACCAGGGGCCTCACTGTGAGGGTGGTGAGTATCGTTAGTGGTAATGTTCAGCTGATGGTTACCAGCGGCCTCACTGTGAGGGTGGTGAGTATTGTTATTGGTAATGTTCAGCTGATGGTTAACAGGGGCCTCACTGTGAGGGTGGCGAGTATTGTTGGTGGTAATGTTCAGCTGATGGTTACCAGGGGCCTTACTGTGAGGGTGGTGAGTATTGTTGGTGGTAATGTTCAGCTGATGGTTACCAGGGGCCTCACTGTGATGGTGGTGGGTATCGTTAGTGGTAATGTTCAGCCGATGGTTACCAGGGGCCTCACTGTGCGGGTGGTGAGTATTGTTAGTGGTAATGTTCAGTTGATTGTTATCAAAATGGTATTAGTATTAAGAAAATTAAAGAATAATTTGGTGTGTTGGTTGTAATGATATATAGAACTTATGATTCCACTCTTAACGGTCCCCTGTTTCGACGTTATTCACAGTTACACGTAAGAATATGTCGGGAGATATATGCTTTGCAACTTTATTTTGTTTTGACTACAGGGATATGTCTTATAACCGTATTTTGTTTTGGACACAGAGATATGTTTTCTAACCGTATTTTGTTCTGACCACAGGGATATGTCGGGAGAAATGCCTTCTAACTGTATTCTGTTTTGAACACAGGGATATGTCGGGAGAAATGCCTTCCAACTGTATTTTGTTTTGGACACAGATATATGCCTTCTAAATGTATTTTGTTTTGAACACAGGGATATGTCTTCTAACCGTATTTTGTTCTGACCACAGGGATATGTCGGGAGAAATGCCTTCTAGCTGTATTTTGTTTTGGACACAGGGATATTGTCAGGGTTTTAAGTATGTAGATTGGGATTCTTTTACAGTAGGTGTCTGTGACTTGTTGGTGATAAATTTGAACAATAAACGGACAGCACACAATCCACTTGTTTACAATTAATATATTCAAAACAAGTCAAACGTATGTATAAAAATTCTTTATATTATAGGATATAACAGTTGTATCTAAAACTCTCAATCTTTTCTTGTCAAAAGTTCACTTAGGCTGATTAATTACTTTAGAACACCCTTTAACAAGACAAATTATTCTCCTTATCTCTATTAAACTGTGAAACTCACATTAAATATCTTCCGTAACGTCTTATCACCTATACGCCAACTAACTTCACGTTTTTCTGACAACTTTACTTTCACTTCTTCTCTACTTAACTTTTTCTGACTTAATTTCCTCTAACTTAATGTTTTCTATCTCCACTTTACTTCTTCATAAATCGCCTGACATGGCTAAACTGCCAAATCACTCAGCCTAGATCTATCTAATTATTTCTTACTTAACTTGACTTTTCTCTGCTTCTAAACTTGCGCTCACGAACCACCATTATATATATATATATCTTGTTCACTTCAGGCCTCGACTTTTCGACAAACTACGCGAAGATAGATAGAACAATACTCAGTTAAGGTAACGAGAAAAACACCGAAGATTCGAGTAACGTGACGTCAACAATATTAGTAAAGCCTAGACAATGTAATTGCAAACACAACGCACGACTCCTACAGAGTTACATAATGAAATTTGTCACAAGTAACTCTTTTAAAACAACCCATCTTCAACACTCCTGTGTTAAAAACTAACCAATCATTAAATATCAAGTCACAAAATAAATTAAATTATCACACTTACACTAAACAGTCTTGTATATCCAACAGATATGTTGAGAGAAATGTCTTCTAACTTTATTTTGGACACAGGGATATGTCTTCTAACTTTATTTTGTTCTCACCACAGGGATATGTCGGGAGAAATGTTTGAATAGAGGGAAGTGCGTTCAGAAGGACAAGTGCAAGTGCAGAAAAGGTTATTATGGTCGTCGTTGTGAATACAGTAAGTACAAATCTATGTTTTCAACTTGTTACCGAGATTAATCATTGTGTTACAATGAGATAATGATTTAAGTAAAATGTCTGGGTTATCAGCCAAATAGTGTAGAAATGTCTGAACTAAATCGCTAAGGTATTTGTTGTGTGCACACCGCAGGTATCGAAACCCGATTTTTAGCGTCGTAAGTCCAGAGACTTACCGTTAAGTCACTGTGGGGCTTGAAAAGGTATTTCACTTCTAAACCTGAATGACAGATCAAAGATCAGATATTGGATATCAGATGGAGGGTAGCCAGCACAAGATCTTTGTCCGGCTCTTTGAACTAATAATATAGTAATGGAATTGACTGTCACTGTCATAACACCCCTAAGCTGAAAATATGGAACATATTCAGCAGAATTACATTCCTAGCCTTGCACCTTGACTATCAAGCCACGCCAGTCCTATGGAAAACTATGTCAGTCATATAAAATATAATGATTCAAGTACTTCCGTTTACTGTAGGCACTGAGAAAAATGTTGAAAACAAAATATGTTGTTATTACCACAGTTCTGGAAATTCAGCAGTGACTTTCCAGACTTACCATGCTAAAATCTGGAGTTCGATTCCCCGCAGTGAACAGAGTGCAGGTAGCCCATTTGTTAGGTCTGCGCTACGAAACCAACAACAGTTTGTAGGATTATACACATACTTTTCTCTACGTTAAAATATTTATTTGCGAGCTTTCGACCCTCTTACTGGAGCTTTCATCGGACAACAATGTAAATAACTATGTACATTGTTGCCCGATGAAGGCTCCGGTAAGACGGCCGGAAACTCGCAAGTAAAAGTATTTTAACGTAGTCCGTGTATAATTCTACATATTAATTTACCTACGTCTTAAGAAACAAACATCAACAATTCCTGCAAAAATTGTTCACTCTTCAAATGAATAAATAGGGTTAATTTTAAGTCATTCATTTATCATAATAGAAAATAACAAAATTGCATGTTTACAAGTTTTTGTATAGAGAAGAAGAAATAGTATGGAAAAAAATCTTAATTTCAGTGTTAGAATGTTTATAGTACCTTCCTCAGACGATTTTCCCAGAACGAATTTTGAAGCGCCCTCTATACGGCTTAAAGTTAATTATAATATTCATTCTCTAAAATAATTATTGCTTACGTCGAACTATAACGAATAAGGAGTTTACTTAAAAATTATATATAATAAAAATATTTGAAAATATGCAATTTTACAAAGGGTACGAAGGAATTTTTTTACACTTTTCTTTGTAATGAGCACAAATCGTTTTCAATAAGTAATAAACACTTCGTAATTTTTGTTGTTTTAGCCTTTGGTAAGTGACATATTAAAACTTTGTCGTCACAGGTAAGTGTACTATACCTTGTTTGAACGGAGGAAAGTGTGTTGGAGTCAACCAATGTCGGTGTAAAAGGGGATATTCTGGAGCTCAGTGTGATCTGGAAAGTAAGGAGAAAGGGATAGAAAAGCGGAGTAAGTTAAAAAAAAGTTAAAAAGCAGTTAAACATTTACTAATGTAAGTAATCGGGGTGGATGGTATAGTAGAAACAAAAATTATTACGTAAAGATCTTGTGAACTTATATCCAAAATTTAGAATTATAATAATTCTCTTCCAAGATGGCTTAGTTGAATATTATATCCAGGGTGCATCTTACAAGAAGCCGATATTCTGAAACAATCTTATTCTAAACGACTAATTCAACATTCTTTAAGCCTTATGAATAAGAAGTTTAAAGCTAATCTCCAACTTTGTAATTCAGCTTTTCCTGAAGACTGTAACAGAAACGGTTATTAGTATAATAACATTTCATATTCAAACATATTACCCTGTAACAGGCAAATATCCTTTAATTAGGCACTTGTTTAGTCATTAATTATAAATTAGATTCTACCCGTTGGTTTTGGCTACTAAGACTTTCCTGAAAATGGACTCAGACTACCAGTCGAAACGTTGGGTAAAAACTAACTGGTAATTTCCCTTTGAAATAGTTGTTTTCAGGGACACCTTTAGAGTTTATCCTGTATGACCCATTCAGTCAATGTCGTCTTTTTCGAGGAATGTGTTGATCACGGTGGAATTTGGCGTTACCACCCAGTGGGTGGACGTTTCATGGTATATAGCCCTTTTCACGTGATATACAAGTTGGCATGTTTACCAATTTCTTTATCCTACTCAAACCACACTTTCACACCCGCCATATGCACCAAGTTCCAAATTGTGAGGATTGGGTTCTGGATTGTCTATAAAGAAGTATACATTTGTTATTTGGTGAAACATCTGTAAAATAAATATTTCATGTTATTGGAAACATTGCATGCAAACTGTTTTCTGTATCTCATTTGGCTTCTGGCATACAGATTGGCCTTGTAAAATCTGTCTCTGTACACTGACATGGCTCAGATGCGGCTGTGAACAACTGATTCAATTTCGGAGCAAATACCTTCAACTGCAGCGAGCTACAACCAACAGATAGTTTTGTCTGTGTTGTGGATAATGGTCTACCTTTTTCAGGAGTCTGAACATTGGTTTGGAAGTAGTCCTGCATCCTATTAAATGCTTGGATTAAATTCACAGCAGCCTACTGTGACTTATTAGATCTATGGCTTTCCTTATGGGTAAAATGCCTAAATGTGTCCTCTGAGGACTAGCCATGACTGAACGGAAACAGGTGACAATGAAAGGCTTGGTGAATCAAAAGAAAAATTGTTTTGAAGTGGTTTAATAATATATATATATAGATGGTATAGAGTATATTTCATACTGGGTTTGGTGATGGTTTACTAATATATGTATTGTTGGATTAGAATTTACAAGATTAGCAGATGGTATAGAGTATATTTCATACTGGGTTTGGTGATGGTTTACTAATAACATGTATTGTTGGATTAGCTTGTAAATTATTAGTAGATAGTATAGAGTATATTTCATACTGGGTTTGGTGATGGTTTACCAATACATGTATTGTTGGATTAGCTTGTAAATTATTAGTAGATGGTATAGAGTATATTTCATACTGGGTTTGGTGATGGGTTACTAATATATATATATATTGTTGGATTAGCTTGTAAATTATTAGCAGATGGTATAGAGTATATTTCATACTGGGTTTGGTGATGGTTTACCAATACATGTATTGTTGGATTAGCTTGTAAATTATTAGCAGAAGGTATAGAGTATATTTCATACTGGGTTTGGTGATAGTTTACTAATATATGTATTGTTGGATTAGCTTGTAAATTATTAGCAGATGGTATAGAGTATATTTCATACTGGGTTTGGTGATGGTTTACCAATACATGTATTGTTGGATTAGCTTGTAAATTATTAGTAGATGGTATAGAGTATATTTCATACTGGGTTTGGTGATGGGTTACTAATATATATATATATTGTTGGATTAGCTTGTAAATTATTAGCAGATGGTATAGAGTATATTTCATACTGGGTTTGGTGATGGTTTACCAATACATGTATTGTTGGATTAGCTGGTACATTATTAGTAGATGGTATAGAGTATATTTCATACTGGGTTTGGTAGTTTACCAATATATGTATTACTGGATTAGTTTTACATTATTAGCGGATGGTATAGGGTACATTTCATACTGGGTTTGGTGATGTTTACTAATATATGTATTACTGGATTAGCTTGTACATTATTAGCGGATAGTATAAAGTATATATTTCTTACTGGGTTTCGTAATGTAATCGTCTCAAATTAACATTGACTAATTGCTAACAGATTTGTAAATAAAATTTTAAATAGATTTAACAGCAATAAAACTAACTGAGACGTAATAAGAAATAATGAATCCTGGGAAAGTTAAATACGATCATAAAATTAATGCTTTTCCCCCTGCTCTCTGTAATTTCAGAGTCATGCGTACCTCGACGCTGCAAACAAGGGGTTTGTGTGGGGAATGACTGCCGGTGTCAGAAGGGGTGGTATGGCAGAAAATGTAACAAAAGTATGTACTTTATTATAATAAAATTAACTTATAATTAGACTATACAAATATCGTATGAGTCCCTAGCTCACACACTACCATGTTTGATGGGCAAGGACGAATGACCGCGCACTGTTTCAACAATGGCCTAACTATTTTAATTAGTTTTTCTATTCATTAGTCCATAGGGAGTAAATAGCAACGTGAATCTTACACATATTTTCAGATAGATTAAAACATCGTTTAGATACAACAGTGGTGTAGTTTTACATGACTATTGTTGTGATTATAATTAATTATACTTGTCATAAAACATAAGTATTAGGCCTATTATACTTTTCAACACTACATTCTTTGTCTAGTCCTTTAAAGATTTTCAAGAATTAGAAAAATTGTTACACAACAATTGACCATTACTGTGTTTATGTCCCAGACGGCCTGATGAGCTCTGGATTGAGCGAAATGCGTCATCGTAAACGTTAAGGCGAACATAATGTAGTTAGAATACTACAGGGATGAAATTCTCAAAAAAAAAAGTAGAGGTACGCAGCTGGGTGAAGTGGATCTGTTTTTGAAAAATAAATTTACGTGTAAACATAAAAAAACGACAAAGCAGCTCAAATAAGTAAGTACCGACAGAATTTCACTCCTGAAATACTATTATTATACGCCCTTCTAAATCTTAGCTCCCAGTGGAACAGCGGTATACCTGTGGATACAACGCCAGAAACCGTGTTTCGATACCCAGATAGCCCGTTGTGCTTCACTACAAACAAACAAAATATAAATTTAAAAAATACCTATAGGACTAGAAAATAAATGTAGTGTTAAAAATATAATAGGCTTTATACTAATGCTATATGACAAGCATAATTATGTACACGACTTTTATATTTAATCTGATTTAAAACAAAAACTGAAGCAAGAGCATAAAGAAGCCTTTGAAATTTGAAAAAAAATTGAAACGATAATTTAATGTATCAATGAAAAGTAGTTGTATGTGTAGTATAACTCAAGTGGTTCACGTGATCCGAAATTTTAAAACTGAAGAAAATGATGATATGAAGTTGGGTTTAAAAATGGTAACAGACGAGTTATTTATTCATAGTTATCAAGAAGAAGAATTCGAAGAAATTGGAAGGTATAACACAGAAACTAAACATGAGAACTAAGAACTTTCAATATAGAATCCTCTGACGATGAAAATATTCATGTCTAAACAAGAACCCTTATCTTTAGTTTTACACTTCACTCGATTTGATGGTAAACCTCCATTGCGATTGTTCTAGAAGCTTCTTAGATGGTTTGGCATGACCTAACCTTAAGAATGTCTCTTTGTATTGTAATATCTTGTGGTCCCATTGGAGCTGAAGACAGATAACATTTCTGTAGTCCCTGGGCTCTTGAGTATCCACTGATAAGCCTTTTTACGTTTTCTTACTGTTGCCTCCTATTTCGCTTCATCTTGGTAGAGTCACAGTTGTTGGAGTGGATGGGCAAATGGTAGGATCGGTTCTGATGAACTTTCCTTTTCTGATCCATCAGAGCATGAGTTGATGATGTTGACAAAACGGGCAAGAGATGATGGCTTGGTTCTGAATTACCCATGACTGCTTTGACCTCGCTGTTTGACGATAGAGCTCGGAAACAGCATTAGCAATAACTTCAGCTATCTTCCAATTACCGACGTCAATTTTAGAAAGATGCAGGAACTCCTCATGCCTTAGAAAACTTGTCAAAGTTCTAACCAAACAAAGCAGACCTTCATGATTTAACAAAGTTACATGAAACACTCAAACTTATCTTGGCCGTCAATAACACTATGTTACTTCCTATTATATCACTCTTTAAAGCGGAAATACACCAACCATAGAACGTTACTTATCTTGGCCGTCAATAACACTATGTTACTTCCTATTATATCACTCTTTAAAGCGGAAATACACCAACCATAGAACGTTACTTATCTTGGCCGTCAATAACACTATGTTACTTCCTATTATATCACTCTTTAAAGCGGAAATACACGAACCATAGAACGTTACCGATCTCGTGAAATACAAGTCGAACAAACTGGGACTAATTTTGAGGTTGTGTGCCCCTAATCCTAATAGGCATCATTATTTTTCGAGAATTGTAAATAGTTTTAGCCATGAAAGATAATTTTACTAGTAATTCCTGGTAAATAAACTTGTTAATCGCTAGGTAAAGTTATTCTTTTGAAGGAACAAATAAGTAAAACAAGCTCTACTTACATTTAACCCGAACTATTTTTTTTTCTTTAAGGTCATCCACGCCAGAGAAGAACGAAGCAGATGTACGTTTGAGTTTTGGAAGAATGAAGAAATTGGACGCATTCATATTATTATTATTAAATCTGATAGTAGCCAAAGCCAGAGCAATACGTACTAGACAACGCTATAGCCAAACATCGGATCATGCACTTTTGTGGACAACTAGTTTGCTCTAAGTTGTCAATATTTCATTCTTGTTATTTTAACCTGATCTGCCCGTATGGAGAAGATATTCAGTTGTTTATTTTGTATAACAAAAATGTGAATTGTTGTGAACCTTGTCTTTTATTGAGAGCAGTTAATGTACCTGTTTACTTTTCGTTTTATATTCACTTTTCGATAATTGAATTCTGTTGTTTACAGTATTGATATCCGGTATTTGCTGTACATGACAGATGTAATTCTAACTTTACAAGATACTTGCATATTATTCCAGAAATATCATATTAACACGTGGAATAAACTTACTTTTTTTTTATGAAAAGATGTGAAGGCTTTTATAGTTTATAGACTCGCAGGGAAAAAAACATTACTATTAACGGGAGTCATATGACTCCCCACTAAAGCTTAAAAGAAAAATAGTGAATAATTTATAACAAAAACAACCCGTGAAGTTAAAGCAAAATAAAGTTAAATTTAGAACACAGAAATGTTAAGTTTAAATCACTAAGAAATCTAGCTACAACAAGGAAAAATCTAGGAAATTTAAATATTTATAAAAACTCTTTAACACTTGCTTATCGGGACATAACATGGATTTAAACACAATAACAGTGACAAAACCAAGCTGTTTACACACATGACCTACAGCCAAAAGCATTGAACATAGGAGCGTGGATTGACTGTTTATTGTTGTTGTGTTTAATTTCGCGCAAAGCTACTCGTGGAATATCTGCACTAGCCGTCCCTAATTTTCAAGTGATAGGCTGGAGGAAAGGCCAACACCACCATTCAAGTGATAGGCTGGAGGAAAGGCCAACACCACCATTCAAGTGATAGGCTAGAGGAAAGGCCAACACCATCAACTCCTGGGCTATTCTAATCAAATAGTGGGATTGTACCATTGAAACTTTCGTTCATTACCTGATTCGTCAAGTTACTCTTCCTGCAGGATAACACCCGTCATCATTAATTAACCAAGTTTCGTGTGCATCAGAGCAAGGATAACCGAGTTGTTAATTTCAGCGACTCTGTGTACAAACTGAAAATAAAATAAAAATTTCGAAGAATTTAAACATTAACTGAGGGGGAGGGGGTATTAACACATGGTACAGTCCTGTACCATACATTCCATTTCCCTTTGTATTTCCAGGTAGACCTGGCTGACTCTAAAACTACAAAAAAAATCAAAGTTTGTGTTACCCAAGAAATCGAAACGAATCATCCTTCCCCCAGTAAATCCACTTAACTAACAGTACACGAGCATCACAGTAAAATCAACTTTAACACAGCTCCACTGACCCCTTTAGGATCGGGTAATCTAATTACTATGTATTTACAAGAAATATAAACTCTTTAACGGTGGAGACATTTCAAAATAAGAAATAAAACTCGTTTACTGGCGAATGTAAAAAAAAATTAAAGCAAAAACTTACTCGTGCTATATCAAATGAAAATGAAGGTTCAACACTTTTTTTCACAGAATGTAAATTTCTAGCATTGCACTGGAATTTTAAGTGTTCTCATTAAGTAGAAGAAAAGGATACTAACTTGTTACATAGAACCCCAATGAAAGTCACGCAAACTCTGAATTCTCTAGCACAAATATAAACTTACCCAATTAGTCTCGACTTCTGAGCATACACGAGTCCATATTGTGTGCTAGTTACCTCACTAGGCCACTTGGAGGTGTGTGAAGTAAGGACATGATTGTCTGTAGCTGTTAGCTCATTCATTGGCAATAACTCATCTCAAAAAATAATTGCTTTCTTATTCCTGTGAGAGAACCTGATAAGTAAGCTTTGGCTCTCACCTAAAACTCCGCTTGCCAGCTTTAAAAATGTAAAAGTAGTAACTCCCTTGAGCACCTCAATACATCAAAAAATTTTAAAATGTTACTTTTTTAGTTAAAGGGGTGGAAAACATAAAGTATGTCCCCTACTACACTGTCATGAGTCCATATAGCCTGCACTATCCTTACTCAATAAATAAAGATATTCTGGTAGTTGTGCATTTGGTCTAAGATCTAGTGCAAATGAAGCGTCCTCATCTATTCCAGCTACTTCTACTTCATTCTCCATTCCAACTATTATTCCAGTAACTAAATGTACACACTTAAATAACAGTTACAGGACTATGCCATCACTAAAGCATGTGCCTGGTTGAGGAAAATTATGTATTAATTCCATTACTTCAGTAGATGACAGTAACATTAGACTGAGTCTTTTTTATACCATGAAGCACCACACGTACACTGAGTGGTCACAAGTAAATAGACACCTAATTTTTCGTCATTTAACTGATTTATGCTAACTAATTTGTGTTCACAGAGCACTATATAAATGAAAATGGTCTAATTATCTTGTGCTACAACATGCCTAGAACTCAAGGTTCTCTTGAATTGTCAGATTTTGTTAAAGGAAGGATAGTTGGTCAAGCAGATGGTGGAATAAGTCAGCGGCAAATTTCGCAGAATTTGGGAATCCCGCTTTCGACAGTCAACAGAATAATCGTGCAGTTCAGGAAACACGGCAAGGAAACAACTGAGCAGCGTCCGGGTCGTCCTGGTCCATCGGAGAGGACAAAAAGAGCTGTCAAGAGGAGCATCGAAATGGATCCCAGATTAACGACTGCAGAAGTGGCCAAAGTTGATGGGATGAGCCCGAAATCTGTTCAACGGATTCTCCACAGATTGGGTTATCGTTGCAGAGCAGCTAGACGGAAGCCCTTATTAAGACCTGCCAACATAGTCAGACGAAAAAAGTG